GGCTAAATTCCCCCGGTAAAAGGAGGCTACTCCTCCAAGACCTTAGAAAACATCACGTCGATATAGCATGCATACAGGTGACCCACTTTGGTAAGCCACGAACTCCTGATATCTGCACAAAACACTTCCCGACCCAGTATCATGCCCTATCCGATAATAAAACCAAAGGTGTCTCTATATTTATTCACAAGGACATCGCTTTTACACTCCAGAGACTCCACATTGATCATCAAGGCAGATTTATTATCATACTTTGGCTTTTCAATACTATACAATACACCTTAGTCTCTATCTACTTCCCCAGCAGAGACTCGAGAAACGTCCTACAGGCTCTTCTCCATAAAATAGATAAGATTAAGCAGGGAAGCTTTATATTATGTGAAGATTTTAACTTTATTCAATCCCTTACTCAAGACATGACTGCCAGACCTACTGCACCGAGAAAGAGGCAAGAACAAGCTACCTGTAAAAATTTAACAAAATTGATTTCAAACTTTGGTCTATATGACAGTTTGAGAATGTTTCACCCCTCGGAACTCGACTACACGTTTAATTCCCAGGCTCACAACACTTACACTAGAATAGATACGTTCTTATTAGACAACATTGCCCTGGCCCATGTCGCTACTTGTACAATAGGGGACATCTCTTGGTCGGATCACAGCCCTGTATTTTTAACCATGTTTGACACATTTCAATTCCGGGGCAGAGTCAATTGGCATCTGAACTATTCAATCCTCCGGGATGAGCAATTTGTTAAACAAGTCCAGGACAACCTGCTAGCGTACTTTTGCAACAATGCTGATGGAGAGGTCTCAGATACCATGGTTTGGTCTGCCCACAAAGCAGTGGTCTGAGACCTATGCATTCAAAGGTCCTCCCACCTCAAGCGACAGCCGGCACTCCTAGAGTGCTACAAACAAATTGCAATAGTCACTTCATGAAACAGAGTCGTCATCGCCTGACTTAGCTGCCCAGTTGACCTCCCTTTACCACCAACTCACTACACTAAATGCCACCAAAACTGATTACTCTCTCCATAGACTCCAGGCCACGACATACCACACCACTGGAAAAGCAACAAGAGTCCTGGAAACCAGACTTTGAACCAACATTGCCACTTCTAAAATAGCCCACATAGTGGGAGAGCATGGGGAGGGGGGGGGGAGGGCAGAAAATATGGCCACAGGAGATCAGCCAAGAATTTGCCTAATTCTACTCTAAACTTTACAATCTAAAACTAGATGCCCACACACATACTCCACCTGATCAAGAGATAGAGACTTACTCATCCTCGGTCGACCTCCCCAGACTGAACACTGACCAATTAATTATTTAGCTTCAACGTTTTTCATTACCAGAAAACAAAGCTGCCATAAAACAGCTGCCCTCTGGTAAAAAATTCACAGACATACTTGCCCCTCGTCTCCTACAAGTTTTCAATATTGCGACTAAAACGGTCACCTTACCCCAGAGATGCTACTTGCCACTATTGTTACCATTCCAAAACCAGACAAATCACCAGACATATATAAAAACTACCGTTCAATCTCACATCTTAACACAGATGCAAAAATAAATGCCAAAATGCTGTCCAATCGCATAGGACCGATTCTACCATCACTACTTAATGACGATCAGACTGAGTTTGTACTGGGGAGACAGGGGCTAGACAACACCTGCAAACTCTCAATAGCAATGGAACAGATTAGGGGTCTGTTTGGGGAAGTCTGTTGCTGGCACTTGACGCAGAAAAAGTGTTTGAATGCTTGAGAGGTGTCCCCTCTCCCCACTTCTCTATGTGCTTGCCATAGAACCTTTACCGTGCTCAATTAGAGACCACACTGAAATACATGGGGTATCTGTACTGGGAACAGAACTCAAAGTTAGTGCATTTGCAGATGATATCCTCCTGTACCTTACCCACCCACAACAATCATTGGCACCTCTAATGTGCTTAATAAACAACTATGGGCTAGTGTCCTACTACTCCCTTAAACAGACTCTTGGTGTGGTGCTCCCTTTGAAGCTTATGACCTCCCTCCGCAGGGACTACAATTTCGAATGGAAGAGTGACAATATCAAATACTTAGGTTTAACAGTCACAAAGAACCCAGCAGATTTGTACTCCACTAATTACATTAAAACATGGAACAGTTGCAGAGCATAGCTACAGAGGTGGGAACAGCTGTTCCTCTCCTGGACAGAACGCATACTTTCCTTTAAAATGACGATCCTACCCAAACTGCAATACCTCTTTCGCACTCTCCCGATAACGTTGCCTCCTTCCTATTTTAAATCAATACACTCCGACCTGGTGAGATTTGTTTGGGCAGGTGGGAAGCCTAGAGAAGCGAGGAGGCTGATGAAGGAACCAGTGGGGTCCTGGGGTCTGGCGGTCTCAAATGTCCAAACATACTACCAGGCTACTGTGCTGGCAGTTACCACTGCCCACCTCCTCAACCCAACTACTCCTCGGTGAGTCATGCTGGAGGTATGGTGTTGTTAGCAATAGATTAGCGTGTGATCCAAGACACCAACCTCCATTTTGTTTAAATGTACATGGGGATTTAGGCCAGAGCGCAGGTAACGTTCTCTTTGTTTTTACTATGTATTTTAAGCTGTTGGATACTAAGCTACTGCTGCTGTGAGCGCGGTGCTTCATCTTTGTGTTTGTATATGATGTTTGTATCACACAGCTATGTTACATTGCTTCCAGCCTCCCCACTTTTGTCTTATTAAGAGTTTATAAGTATGTAGGGACAGCACCCCTTCATGTCTCATCAAAGAAATTTTAGCTGATACCAGCAAGGTGATTTGTATGTGTTATAGCCATAGGCGTGCGCACGGGGTGTGCCGGGTGTGCCTCGGCACACCCTAATCCCCGCGGCACGCCTATCGAGTGGGACCGGCAGGGGAGATCTCTGGATCTCCCCTGTCGGCTCATGCAGAGCCGGCACTATCCGAGCGCAGGCTCTGCTCTCAGCCTCCCTCCCCACTGCAGCATGGAGGGATGCAGGAGAGCACCCGGGGAGCTCAACCAGCAGCTCCGCCGGGTTCCTCTTGCGAGATCTGAGCGTTGCCGTGGCAACGCTCAGATCTCGCGAGAGTGAACTCTATCCCCACAGGGGCTAGAGTTCACTCTCCACTGGACCACCAGGGAAAGCAGCAGGAACAAGAATCCCCCCTCCCTACATAAGGTAATAAGGGAGGGGGGATATTAAGTAATGTACCCCAACCTCCACCCCCCACATAGCACATACACACAGACAGACACACAGCACCCACACACACACACCACACACACACATACAGAGCACACACACAGCACACACACACACCCACACACACACAGCACACACACACACACACATACAGCACCCTCACACACATGCAGCACACACATACAGCACACACACACACACACACACAGAACACACACACATACAGCACCCTCACACACATACAGCACACACACACACACATACATCACCTTCACACATACAGCACCCACACACACACATAGCACACACATACAGCACTTTCACACATACAGCACACAAATACAGCACACACACACACATACAGAGCACACACACACACACACACACATACAGTACCCACACACATACAGCACCCTCACACACATACAGCACACACATACAGTACCTTCACACATACAGCACCTTCACACATACAGCACCCTCACACACACAGCTACCACACACACACACACACACAGCACACACACACATACAGCACCCACACACACACAGCACACACACACATACAGCACACACACAGCACCCTCACACACATACAGCACACACACACACATACAGCAACTTCACACATACAGCACCCACACACACACAGCACACACATACAGCAACCACACACACACAGCAACCACACACATTCAGCACCCTCGCGCAGCACACACACAGCAGTGTATGTATGTGTGTGTATCTATATATATATATATATATATATATATATAGATACACACACATACATATACACGCGGCGTGTGTTTGTGCTTTAGGGTACACACCCTAATGCAATAGGCTGCGCACGCCTATGGTCATAGCCCTATTTAGGGTTAAGTATGTAGGGGTTTATAAAACACCCCTTCATGTCGCATTAGAGATGTTTACACTTTGTCTGATACCAGCAAAGTTTATTGTATGTGTAGAAGCCCTATAAAGGGTTAAATGTTAAAGGGTTTATAAAATACCCCTTCTTGTCTCATTAGAGATGTTTACACTTTGTCTGATACCAGCAAAGTTTATTGTATGTGTAGAAGCCCTATAAAGGGTTAAATGTGAAAGGGTTTATAAAATACCCCTTCCTGTCTTATTGGAGATTCTTGGCTGATATCAGCAAATCTAATGGCTAGAGTAGGACTCACCTATTGAGGCTTGCCTTGACGTGGCAGGTGACCTTTTATATTCAAATGGCCATTGGAATAAAACTAAAGAGCCTCCATTGTGTTTAAATGTACATGGGTATTTAGGCCAGAGTGCAGGTAAAGTTCCCTTTGTTTTTACTATGTATTGTAAGCACGGTGCTTTATCTTTGTGTTTGTATATTGAAGCAGATGGTAGGTCCCCTCACTGAGCTGTCGGCACAAACGGATGAGCACTCTCAGGATCCCAGACAGTCGGCGTCTCTGTGACCACAGGAGTAGTTGACACAGTGGTTGATATCCCAAGTGACTGTAAGGTGGCCACTATCTCCAAGGCATCATTGGTCTTGAGAGCGCCCGATTCCCTAGGTATTATTAGGCTGCGTGGCAGGCCCCACCAAAATGGTATTTTGTGAAGTATAGGTTCCTTACTTAGGGAGCACATGGATCTCCGCCAGTCCATGGTGGCTTTAGACAAATCTGGGAAGAAAGTCAGAGAGTGCTCCTCAAATCGAATCGTGATTTATTACGGACAGCTGCCATAAAAGCGAGTTGGTCCTGGCTCTGCTGAAACCGGACGATAATGTCCCTACTAGTCCCAGAGTCGCCATTTGTTGACTTTGGTATCCAGAACAACCTGTCCAGCAGCATGGCTTTTGCCCAAGAGGTGGATATGTAGCCTGCGGAGAAAATGAGGGAGTTCTGCTGCCTCTGTTTTATCTTTCAAGCTGGGTATTTTCACATTCTTGAAATGCCTTTTATCTTCCAGGGCTGCCATACGTTCTTGAGTTTGTGCCTGAGAATGGTACAGTGTCTGTAGTTTGTGTTCTAGGCTGGAGATGCGGATTTCATGAGCCATAGTATTCAGCTCTGTGGTGTGTAGTCGTGCTGATACTCTGTTGATTTTCTCTTGAAATTGGCCTATGTCTGCTGCAATTTTCCAGCAGAGCTCATTTAAGAGGCCTCTCAGCTTCTCCTCCGTGATCAGTTGCTGTGCCACTAGCTTAGAAGGTGAGGCAGGATATCTTTTCACAGGTTGGTCACAGGTAAATTTTCTGCAAAGGAAGGCTCGCTGGATGCCCGGGAAGACCCATCCGATGGCGACGCCATTACAGACCTCTGGGTCTTTTGTGGCCTCCGCAGCAGATCGGCAATATCGGCGGTTGCCGGAGGTTTGTCGGCTATGTGTTTCTTGCTTTTGCGTCCCATGTCTGAGACAAGGGGATTAGTGCAAGTTGTGGTAAGAGAAGTTGGAAAAACTTGCCCGGAGCACGACAGAAATGCGACCTGTTGGTATGGCCGCTGGCTCCGCCCCCCGATATAGCATAGGTTGATGACAGTCAATTTATCTCACCCTAACCATGTGCTACTACCTTCATATACTGTATTTCTCTACAAGCTTTTAATGCTGAGGTCATTAATTAAAAGCTCAAAGAATGGAGTACATTTTCCCTTACTGTTCCACATACTATTATGTTCCAGGCAGTTTTTTTCTAAAATCAACTTTTAGACATACATTGGATATCAACTAATCATAAATTCCTGTTTAATAAATGCGGTGCTCTGCTAGCACCAGATGTAAAAACCAAAGGTACCTGTGCTCTCTCCCAAACCCCTATGCACATTTAAACAAATGGAGGTCATTTAGTTACTCCAATGGCCATTGGAGGGAATGCCCGCCTGCCAACGTCAAGGCAGACCCCCCTAGACGGGTCCTACACTGACCTTTCACCTTGCTTCATTGAGTCTCTGGCAAAGATAACTCTAATGAGACAGAGAGGGGTATTTTTTATATATACCCCTATATAATTATTAACCCTTAATAGCAACAGATATAGATTATTCTTAGGAGTAGTGGATATTTAAGGATAATATTAGCAAACAGTGAACTGCAGCTGTGTGACTTGACCTTTCAGCAGATGTGGTAGGGACTAATTAATACAGTGAAACAAGTCAAGAAGCTTGAGATAGACACATCAATGTCTGATGTCTCACATCAAGAGCATGCTCACAAATGTAATTTTAGAAAAAATATGGTCACACAAGATCAGCAAGGCAGATTTTATCTACCACCACAATCTATGAGATGTAATAATAAACAGAGATTTAGAATCCATTGATAACCAAATTTGCAATGTTTTGGGCAAATGTACCAAGCTGAAAATGTATCTGAGCTTAAGAATTTTTACAACCAAGGCACTTTGACATAAGTTAGCAAATGGTGGTTTACATCTCATCACATTCCACTGTTCGGCACTCATTTGTTTGTTTTATTTTTGTATACTCTAAAATATTTAGGTAACATATTTTTCTTTTTAAGGTCTGACAGTGCAGGGGCAAATATCAACATATTGTTTTCTGAATGCTAAAAAACTCTTTTTTGATAAATGGAAGCTTTTATTTAAACTACAGCTTTCTTTTAGCATACAATTGTTCTGCTTGTTTTCAAGAGCCTCTTCAGATTTATCTGGATAACGTATCTTCCATTGAATCCTGCGTAAGAGAGTAAAAATACAATCTAGTAAGCCAGTTTTAAATTGGGTAATTCAATGATACTATTAGGAAAAAGAATACAACTTTTTATCTAACCAATTCCATTTTGTTTTGGTTTTCAAAATAAAAATAACGTTTCTCTGAACACTTATAAACTATTTATATTCAGTTTAATAACCAATAAATCTGATTAAACTATTGACTCTGAAGAACAGACTGTAATAGTAATTCATGTAGATCATTAGGCAATGTCTGTGTACTGAATGTTCTGGGGGTACATGCAGAGTCATGCAATTCTCACTCCTTAAAAGATGACTGAATTATATGGAATTCCAAAAAAGTTATATCTGCTTGAAAATTGTTTCTTTGATTTGCATCAAGTGGTCTATCCACTAAAAGCCCCCTTTCAACCAAATGGCAGGAGAATACCATTCTGTTGCAACATTTTGGCTATTTTACATTTTATTTTTACTCTTTCAGCTACGTACCAGCAGCTAGATATGATTTTATGGTTATGTTGTGGTGGGCAGCTATCTCCTTCTTAAGGTACTGGAGCTCCAGAAAGAGGAAGATGATGGTGGTGGCTAAACCAAGTTGTGAGCCCAAGTGATGGTAAAAGCTCAATATAAACATGAGAAGGTGTTCTAGTGCACAATCATAGGTGTCTCAGTGAAGGAACCTGTGAACGACCGCCTGGAAACTCGACTGGGTACTTCCATCAATCGGTGCTTCCTAGTAATCCTTGAGTACCATAAGAACCGCACTGGACACCATAACCACTGTAAACCCCACAAAACCCACCCTGGACCCAAGACCAGTAAACAGCTTCCAGTGGGTAGATCTCTCCTAGTCCAGAGAGCGAAGCAGGCTGCTCTAACAAGACGAAGCGTTGTGATCCAAAGGAGTATAGTGATTAGAGCAATCCCCAGAGTGAATATAGCTCCCCAATCCCCCAAACATGAGCCTAGACTTCATGAAGGGTAAAACGAATCTCTTTAAAGGCAGCCATAACTGGACTTGTGTGCAGGTCTCCATGCAAGGGGCACTCCACGCTGGACCTGAGAGTAGACTACAGTAAAAACATACAAAAACATACACAAACATACATTGGCTCTCAGGTCCAGGACACTACCATACAAAATAGGTCAATCCCTTCCCTATGCCTGGGAGATAATTGAGTCAGCACTGTATTAAACTCAATTATCTCTAGGCACAGAAAACATAAACTTTTATAAAAAAAAACAAATACCTTAAAACACACAACATCCCCGCAAAAGTATCATCCCCTGATAGTTCTGATCTGGGTGACCAACATATCCCAAAATCTCCCAGATCTGTTCAGGGGTTCAGGAATTTCTGGAAGTCATAATTTGACCGACCGCACGCACGCACGGTCCCATACCTAAAACAGTTCCAGAGAATCAAGACTTGTGGTCCGTCTAGTTTGGTAGTTTAAAAACGAACAAACTACCGAACATAGGCAATAGTCTTATCCTGGAGCTTGTTCCCCTTGTTCGTGGGAACATTTCTACAGAACAGTGTCTTCCTAAGTGTTATAAAGCCGAACCCAGGCGATCATGGAAATTCAGCGCTGTTCGGGAGTTTCAGTGTCCGAAAATAGTTCCATGAACTCGACAACCAAACCAAACCACCGCTGCCTGTTCATGCGAACAAGATGGCCGCCACCTCGTGATCGTCCATAGGAAATGTGGCCACCCAGACGAACACTTAGAACACTGCGGTGGAAATTGCTACAAAGTAGCAATTAGGCTTAACAATAAAATCCCACGAACCAAGTCTGTTCACATAGTCTTTTAATAAGAGGCTGGCCATCAGGCCCCTCCAAGAACACGTAACCAGGCTCAGTTCGTCCCAGAACCCTTAATTTTACTATCAAGATTAGCTGCTGTTGGTTATGACTAATGACTTTTGTTACAAACTGTAATTTGTTCCAAATTTGGGTTGATTGGCTTATTGTTTGAATTCCTGAACAAAGAGCGGAAATGTAGCCCAATCATGAAAGGATGGCTGTACATGTTCATTTTGATTTGTGATTTTGAATTTAACCTGTGGCACCAAAAAAAAAAAAAAAATAGATGATTTATAAAAAAAAAAAAAATATGATTGATGGCTAGGGGACAGTCACTATATGTTGATTTTATTCACAAATCAAGTGAGAAGTGACAAATGCATGGAGAAAAGGCAGAGCCTTTAAAAAAAATTCTAATTTATATTCAATATATATATGATATTTAAATATATAAATATTAGACTTGTGCATGCTGAGAAAATTTGTCTAGGCTGAATCATTTTACATGAAAACAGAACATAAGAAAACATAATGAGCAGTACTTTCTTTTACTGATAACACCAGCATGACATTTCTTAATGCAGAGATTGGAGCTATCAACTTGAACTTGACAGGATTCTCCAGTCTGCGAAGCATACTATCCCAGACCCAAAGAGATGTTCTGGAGTATGGGAGGAGCTCTACAACCTTGTTCCTCAAAGATGATGGGGTCTTTATACAGTAATACTCTAAGACCTGGGGTACTCCCATGCCACACAAGGCTACTGGGGCTTGAAGAAGTGAATTGGCCAATCTTGCCTGTTATTTGTTCCAAATGAAAGAGGAGAAAAGTGCTAGGACTTCCTTATAGTAAGTTGTAGGAATGGAAATGAGGACTATGCAAAACACATATAAGAGTTTCGGGAATAACATCATTTTTATTGTGTTTATGCATCCTGCCCATGATAGCTTAACAACTTTCCAAAAGAGTATTTTATTTTTAAAGGTGCTTAGCAAAGGCATATGGTTCTGTTTAAACAGTGAGGGAATAATAGTGACTCTGTCATATCTCCTCGGGGCCCACGCCCCTCCAGTCTCGCCTTCCATGTTGACGTTGGCTCACCTCTCCTGCAGTGTCACTACATTCAGCTGACAATCGCAATGACCAGTTAGCATGTAACTTCTGTGTCTTTGGCGCCTTAAAGGGAAAGTTACCCATTTTACATTTGGGCTAGCACTCAAATTTATATTTGGTCACATATTGGTTCCCTAGACTATCAGCTCACACTTAGCCCTATGTATACCTCCCTTTGACATCACTTACTTGCACTGTCATGGTCTTTATAGCCCGAGGGTGCGTTTCTTTGGTTTAGACTTTACTGGTATCTGACTTCAGCTTTGCTCCTCATTCTTCTGGTATCCTTGACCCTTGGCTTTGTTTATCCTTCCATCTCTAATCTTGACCTTGGCCTGTCTGACTATTCTATACTTCTTCTTGTACTCATATATATGTTAGGTCAGGCCACTCTAAGAGTGATTTTATTCATTTTGTTAGTAATTAAGACACCCTCAATGTCAGGAGATTGCCTGTTTTTGTGCTAGGGGTAAAATACATACCATTTTTCTATTTCTGTGCCAAAATTAGTTGTTAGGAACAGCACTTGGTACATAACCTGAAAGGTAGTCTGGTCCTCTGCAGTCCCCTGAGGATAAATTGAGTTCCCTATATGAGAAGAACATGGTTATCAGCAAAAATCAGCACGGTTTTATGAAGCACAGGTCATGTCAAACTAACTTGATTGCGTTCTACGAAGAAGTAAGTAGAAGTATAGATCAGGGTGTTGCCGTGGATGTGATCTATTTGGATTTTGCCAAGGCATTTGATACAGTTACACACAATAGATTAGTGTTCAAACTCAAGGAAATCGG